CACTCAGAAATCCCTGTCCGTCTGTTATCAGAAGGATGAACTAACCAAATCTTATGCCTCTCTTTTAACCAAAAGGGTATCAAGCCACCATCAGCGCTCCACACATGGTATGACTTTAAAAGACTCTCAGACATTTCTGCGTCTTGTGAATCTGATTTTTATGTCAGTCTTCAATCATTCAGTAGATAACAATGAGAAGCACTCAGAGAAATACAAGTGATATGATTTTAGTGGATTACAGTGGCAGTTAACTAAATATAAGCAATTGAATATATTTGTATTGGTTGTCAGCATGTTAGCGTTGTCAAACCTTTGTATTATGCAGCTGTCAGAAGTGTCAACAAATGGGAAAAGATTCAAACTGAAGACTTTGTAACAGGGCTGTACCATATGTCATGTTTTTTTAAGCTTCAGTTGATGTTTTGGATTGAAGCGTAGAATGTTTGTTGTCATATTTTATGCTGTCTCTGTCCTAAAAAAAGATTAAACATCCTGGAACAAAGTGATGTTAAAATGCTTTAAAGAGACAGAAAGAGACAGGTAGTGATGTTGGCTGGCTACCTGGGTGGGGTTTTATTACCTCAGTGCTAGATGCAATATGAATGCTGGCTGACGGTTGTAATACAGTTTCCTTGTTGACGTCCCGTCCTCCCAGCATGCCTACGCCCTGGAGCTTCTACATGACCAGCTGTACGAGGGAGCCAAAGCTCTGGACGTCGGCTCCGGCAGTGGAATCCTGTCCGCCTGCTTCGCACGAATGGTGAGCCACACATGACGGGTAAACACATACAATTTCTTTTTGGTGGCATTCCGATTGATCAATTGGCTTGTCAAACCAATCAACATAAAACGAGATAAAAACATGTTTAATGCTGTGATATTCTTGTATGAACTGGGCACTGTTCATCCCTCCGTCCTTTACAGGTAGGTCCTAAAGGGAAAGTTATAGGAATTGATCACATCAAAGAGCTGGTAGACGATTCTATAAACAATGTGAAGAAAGATGACCCCAGTTTGATAACATCGGGCAGAGTCAAGCTAATAGGTAAGATGCCATTGATGAAAGGTAACAGATATTTCATTTATGTCTTTGTTCTATCAGTACATTTTTTGGAAATGATTCGAAGAGGAGAAATGTCTGATTGTTCCTTTTAAAGCTAAGGGACAGTGCAATGCTTCCTGTCTCCTCAGTAGACAGGATAGTGCAGTGTTAAACAAGTGAGCAGCAAGTACCTACTGTGACCTGCTCTTCAGGAGGGTGGGATTGTTCATACATTTAGGCGATTAATAAAAGTATGCAGTGCACAGACTCTCATTCTTTGTTTTGTTATATTTTTAATGACTTTGCTTTTACAGTGTTTTGACAGATTGTTAGTGTGGGTGGGCAAACAGCTGTTCTTTGGCTCCAGTGTTTTTTCTCTTATGATCTCGTGTCTCAACGAAGTCAGTCAACAGAAAATAAATTCCACATTAATTGTGTTATAGTACCAAAAATATACTGGATACTGCTTAATGTACTGTAAACTGTGGTCTGTAAGTAATTGCCAAAGAATTTTGCACAAAAAACAAAACAAAGCAGTAACTCCCAACAAGACTACAGAGGAAAAACAATAGAACACAACACGAAAGAGGTTCTGTAGATTGAAAAGGTGTGGGCTGAAACTACCGCCTGTTGTGCCGACCCGTTTTACAAAACATATTTGATGTCAAAAAGTAACATCAGAAGAGCTGCTCTGGTTTTTTTGGCTGATATCAGAGTAAGCTATTTTAAAACATCACTTGTAGATTTAGACATTTCCAGAAATGTTTATGCACTTTGTGAAAGAAACTACATACCATTATTTAAACATTGTTTTTATATATATATATATATATATATGTATATGTGTGTGTGTGTGTTACTGATACAGTATCAAAGTGTTAAAATATAGAAGCAATAACGACCAGCTTTCTATCTTTGGGTTTTTGTAATGTGTGATGGGAATCAGTCAGTCGATTAACCAGTAATAAAAAGCATTGTCAGATACAGCCTTAAAGAGTTGCCATTACAGAGATAACAATAGCAAAACGACAATATGGTGAAACAGTGTGTGTGTGTGTGTGTGTTTTTCAGTGGGAGACGGGCGAATGGGCCACACTGAGGAAGCACCTTATGATGCCATCCATGTTGGCGCAGCAGCACCTACTGTCCCCCAAGCTGTGAGTATTTTTCTGAACACTTTCAGAGCCGATGATCAAGGTCACATTCTCCCAATTCACTTAAAAACAAGGAATGAATACCAATACGTTTAAAAACCTTGAAAACCGGATTAAAATAGCAATGCTGGAATGTCTTTTTAAAACCTCCATGGTTTTTCTCCCCATGTTATTCACTCACAAACCTTGTTTGTCTCCCAGCTTCTGGACCAGTTGAAGCCTGGCGGCCGGCTGATTCTGCCCGTCGGCCCGGCAGGAGGGAATCAAATGCTGGAGCAGTACGACAAAATGGAGGACGGCAGCACCAAAATGAAGCCCTTGATGGGGGTGATTTATGTGCCTTTAACCGACAGAGACAAGCAGTGGTCCAGGTGGAAGTGACTTCCTTCTCCCCTTCCTCCCCCTTTCTCCTTCTCACAGTGGCAAAGGTGAAATGGTGTGGCTTGGAGCAGGCAATGGATCACAAGGGGCTGCATTTTGCTGCTTGTTGACATTTTTTGCTTCTTCCATACCATACCAACTAGCTGCACGTTTCCTTCATCTTTTTTTAACCCCATAGTTCCAATTTGGTTCAATAAAACCTGCGTGACTAATGAAATTTGAAGTCCTAGTTGTTTTGGAACACAAACATGAAAGAAACTGAAATAGCAGCAGTGTAAAATGGATATGCTTGGTTTTCAAAAGCATGACTATAATTTGGATGCTCATAAAGCATTAAAACACAATTACCCAGCTATTCTGTTTGGTCTTCTACTCTGTGAGATGTGGACAAAAACCAATAAGTGTTGTGATTTCACCGTGAGAATGTATGTTAACATTTTGCATGTGATTCTAACTCTTGAATTTGTGTTTGCATGGTGCATGCCGCTCTTCTTTTTCTGCCTTCTCTAACGGTGGACTTTCTGTTTCTCACAGGGATGAACTCTGAAGAGGAAGACAGTCCATGATCCACCTTTAAGTTTGAACCTGGAAGAAACTTGGATGGGGTCAGACAGCCCATGACATTTTGTTCAAAGCATAACAAAAACATGCTCTTTTTGTTTAAGTCTAACGATGGACTAGAGTATCACATTGAGGACAGCCCAGAGGGGCTGGGAAGAAAGACTGCTTGAAGCTCAGCACAGAAATATTGGAGAGGGCTTTTGGTTTTTCTTTTCAGGCCTGCATCTTTTTGGTTGTGTTTTTTTTCTTTTAAAACTGCTGGATTTTAGGTTTGTTTGTGGTTTTCATCATTTGAATTGCAATCAGCCATTTTTACAGTATTACAACTCAGCAGCATCAAAGCTGAATGTAGGAGGAACGCCGGGCAGCGACGAGGAAAGCCTTTTTAGATAATTCACCTAGCTACAGCGTCTGTGTGTGTGGATCATCAAACTGTAGACTTCTCTGCTAACATTTGAGCTTTTTCCCCTCTGCCAGCAGTATTAGGGCACACACACACAACACACAGGCAACACAATGGCTGATGTAACCCACACATCCTGTTTGATGTGCAGCACTCTTAGGTCATTCCACATATAGAGTAAGAAACGCATTGGATCATACTGAAAATACTCCAAAAGAGAGCAGAGCACTAATAACACCGACACATGTGCACATACAGGGCTGTGCTTTTCACCTGGTGACGTGTTGCTTTCTGCCGCTGGTTTTCCATTAACAATTTGCGCAGGCTCTTCTAGTGACTCATACTAAATGGGATAGTCACTGCTTTGCCAAAATAAACTCCAACAATATAAAGCAAACGAATGTCTGTTTTCTTGAAATCAAAAAGCACATTTTATTTTGGGTGATCTAAGTGATGGATGATATTTGGCTTTCAGTTTCTGGAGCAGCATATGAAAATAAAGAGATGCTTTATGTTTTTCTTTGCCTTTTGTTTTTTAATCTTTTGTGTGCAGGCCACAACCTGAACCTGGTTTTTAATATATATTAGATTTATTATTAAGTCTTGCAGGCAAGTATTTTCCAGGAGTCACAATTTTTTAAGTTCAGCCCCCCTGAGAGATGTATCACTTATATAATTACTTAGGAATAGTTGTTTAAACATTGTGATGATTTTTAGTTAACAATATAATCCTGGTGGAGAAATTTTCTTTAAACTTTTTTTGGTCAAAAAATAGAGAGGTATAATAAATCTAAATATGCCAGTTAGCTTTAAATAACGCTGTCTCATTTGAATGCAATTTGCAAAGTCAGTATAAATTCCTCCTCAGTTCCTACAAACTAAGAGTGAATAAGCTCACTGTCCTCAATGGTAATTTAATAATGTGCTGTGGAAAGTATTGCATTTTAGTTACACATCACACCAGTGGGGTTTTTGATATAATAAACTTTAATATATCACATTAAAGACAGCACTTTGAGGAAATACATCTGCGCAAATATAGCACATACTCCACAGAAGTCTGCTTAGTAAAGAAACGTGTGCAACAAACTTTAGATAGGAACATAGTTTGAACAATACAATTTGCTATGGCTTTATATGATCCGAGAAACTTCAGGAATAAGTTGTTAATTCCTAATCGGTCAAAATAGTGCACTATATTAGGAACTCCAATGTGTTGCATTTCTGCCCTTCAGGCAAGTTAATTTAGGTAAAATGAACAGCACAAACATAGCACATTGGTGTCACCCAGTGGCAGAAATAGAGCATATTTATGTGCTGCACTAGTTAAGAAATACCATCGCAAGTGAAAATAAGTTTCAAATCAAAGTAACCAGTGTTTCAGGAATAAAAGGAGAAGGGGACAAAAGAGTCTCTTGTACCGTATCCCAGAAGTCACAGGGGTAATATAGACAGCTGTATATCAGTATTGAAATAGGAATGTTGACTCTTTCATCATGGATTCACAATCAGATTTTGTTAAGACAACATAAATATGAATTCACAAGCAATCTGAATATGTGTCATTGGCTTAAAAGCCAGCATCTATCAGCAGCAGATTTACCAATCAGAGGGGTTCAGTGTGGGCATGTTCAGAAACGTTCATGACAGCAGACAGTTGGGGTGTTTCCAACCTGAAGTGAGGACAAATTAGCGATACCGGGCTGCAAGGAATACAAAGTGAAAATCCCAAAAGTCCTGGCTCAGGCTCTGGTGACAACATATCACCCGTGTTTTTCTTTCTCAGATCTGGTGCTCTTGCATTTGCTGCCCCCAGTTGATTGGCTACAGGTACATGCCGTTGATGAGGTAATCTGACTCCTCTGTGGTGAGGGGTCGGGCTTTCTTCAGCTTGTGACGAACAAGTCTGAGACGACAACCGATCATGAGCAGCAGCAGGGCAGTGATGATCAGGCCAAGAGCCAGAGGAAGGATTGCACCTGCAGAAAGAAACACCGTATAGAAAATGAACAGAGCAGAACATGACACACGAAGAAGAACAAGAGGGGACACACTGCAGTACAATGATATAAGCCAAACCTTTCAGGTTGGGTCTTACCTGACTCTGGCACTGGATGTCCTCCCTTTACTGGAAATGGTTTGGAGATGGGGACATCACTCTCTGCTTGACTCTGGGAGACTTTAGGGGCAGCTTCAAGAACAGCACAAATACGTTTGATACGATTTGGAAACATTAAACAGTTAACACTATATTACTGGTATATGAATGAAGTGTTAGCTTTACCTATCTCAGTCTGTTTGGTGATTGGAGGAGCCACAGTTGCTGGTTTGAAAGCTGGACCTGAAAGATGTTACCATGAATAATTATTCATTATAGAATTATAGTTGTTTTAAATTGTTGCAATTACAAAATTAGGTTTTAAAAGAAATGGACAAGAAGCAGATTCTCACTTTTTTGTATACATTCACTGACACAGTCAGATTCCTGGAGGAAGTTGTTATGGTTGCCCTGGCAGCCGCCATACAGGAAGTGTTTGCATTCTCCTGCATTTCGGTCATAGTACCATCGTGGGAAGGTGCCTTTACAGGGTCCTACAACTGGAGCTGCAGCACATGGATCTACAGGAGAGAAAGAGTCACACACAATCAGCTTCTCACATTTGACAGTTTCATATTATGCATATTAAGAGTGCCTTAGATGGCGTGTAGAGCTGAGAGGATTAGCTGATTGATCTAACTAATTAGTTGTAACGAGAATAAAATTGACCGTAACAATTTTGATAAACAATTCATTATTAAACAGCAGAAAATGCCAAACATTTCCATTTACAGCTGCTCCAATGAGGATTTACTGCTGCACTGTTGTATATCATTGTAAAGGAACTAACTTTGTGTTTTGGACTGTTGGAGGACAAAACAAGATGAAGATGTCACCTCAAGCTCTGCAAAAACGTGACAGGCATTCTTCAGTTCCCCTCAGCTCTATGCATCGTTTTAGCTTCTTCGAGCTCAGTGTTTTGGTTCTGCTTTCTTCACTCTCACTGCTCTCTTTGTTCCCAGCTGCAGAATCATATCTGGTTTGTGATAGGCTCTGATAAACCTACTGAATTGCACCCAATGGCAGACAGACACGACACAAAGTTAGCAACTAAAGAGCTAAACAGTTTTCTTCAGGAGTTGGTGGGGGTCAAGACAGAGTTAAAAGAGAGTTAATACTGGACAGCTTAAAATGAATGCTAATGTTTCTCCATGTCTGCTGGATGTGTAAATAGGCGACTGTTTACTTTCACCATATCAACTTGATGTTGATATTCTCATCTTGTTGCTTCCAAGATGATCCCGCGGTGGGAAAGTTGCAGCCCTAGAAGAGTCAATACATTCCCATCAACAATGCTCACGACCAACAGAGAGCAAAGGTCAGTGGACTTCTCCTCCCTCTCTCCTAGATAATGAGGTATCATCTTAGTTGGTCAAGCATTTAGACATGAGACTGAGCGTTTGTGAAATGAAGAAAAGACCCCTGAGAATGTGCCTCAACCATGTAATACCTGCGGTGAAATACCAGCGGGAGAAGAAGTCCTTTTGGTCAGCCTGATTCAGGGATCAGATGGCAGAGAGGACAGAGGCGCTTTGTTCCAGCACTCAGAAGGGGACACAGGCAAGGAGCTGCTTTCCCAGGGAATGCAGAGTGGCCCTGTGGCTTTGCCAGCATTGAGCTTAGTGCTATGACTCAATGGCTGCCTACAGGGTCTCCATCTGCTTCTATGTCCAAGTACACACTAAAAAACACCTCTCTGTCTCTTCACAAAGAGATACCGCACTAATGACACAGCGATGTAGCATCATATTGTTGGGGACAACATTTTAACAGGCACAGCTTAAGGAAAAGAAACAATTACTGATTCCCATCCAACCACGTGTTTGAAACGACCACAAGAAATGTAAATAAAGCACTAAAACACAACTTTACCTTGACTGGCCGGTGCCTCCTGTTGACTGGGACTTTGCGGAGGAGTGGCCTTGCTCCTGTCCTGAGGAGGCATCATGTTCTCTATGGTCTTTCTGGCTGCAGTCTGGAGCATGGAGCCATCCCCGGCCTCTTCTGTCTGGGCTACAGGCCGATGAGGGCTTGACAGATCAGCAGGATGAGTCACTGATTTCCTGCTGCTGTCAACTAGAGAAATCACAGAAAAACAAATGAACGGTGGAGAGGTTGTTGATGTTTTTTGCTCATGTTTTTCCTTCATTCTTGCATTCCTTTAACTGATCTGGGTGATACAAGAGATTTAAAAAGACCGTAGGAAACAATGGTTTTCTTACAGTTTGGGCAGAAGTCTTCATCTGAGCGGTCTGGACAGTGTTGCTTCCCATCACAGGCGTAGGTGATGTCAATACAGCAACCGTCATCACACTTGAACTGGTAGTTTGAGCAGTGACCGGTACACACTGTGGGAACAGAAAGGTACATCTTATAACAATCTTTCACTGTAACCGCAAAACACAGCTTTTAATAATTTGAAAATGGAAACAGTATTGTGAAGATTTTATTTATGTTGTAGGATCATCAATTTCTCTTTCAGTTAGTAAAGGCAATATTTAAAAAAAATAAACTTGAATTTTACTGGAAGCTCAAAACAAAAACACCAGAAGAAAGAGCACATCACCTTCTGCTTGGTGTTTTGGTGCCAGCACGGTGACGGAAACGTTGTCGGAGCTCTTCTGGCCTGCTGTGTCAGTGACAGTCATCTGGAAGGTGTAAACACCCTCCTGCAGGCCGCTGATCTTCAGCAGCTCCGGATGAGTCGCCTTCAATACATACGAAACAAAAAAGTCTTGGATGGCAAACAATTTTGTTACAGAAATCACATGTGCACGGATTGAGAAGCCCCTAACAGTATGCAGTCATGCAGATATTTTTATCCTCAGCCAAGACAGAAGTGAAGGGACTTTTGTTTGTGGTTGCATTAACAAATGACATTCGGTGGATGCCCTCGTAGCCTAGGGGTCCATTTAAGGCATAAAACAGAAAAAAAAGTAGAACATTACTTTTGAAATATCAGTTCAGTTTTTATTTTATATCACAATATAAGTTTGACAGAAAATCTGTTGAGAAATTGTCTTTTTTTTGCTAATCCAGCAAAGTAAATATCTGAAAAATGAACACAGTCTTCAGATCAATGACTTAATACACCATGTGGTCCTAAAGGGGTCGTTAAAATGGTACACAACAAACAACATGGCAAATTATTTAATGCAATAGCAACATGTCTTTCCAAAAAAACACTTTCTCTGTTACTCAGGATAATCCACAGAGGTTACTGTCAAGGCAGGAAATGTGTGAGACCCTCCGGCAGGGCAGCCTCCAGCATTGCTGCTGTCCTTGGGGCATATTTGGACATAGTAAACTCTTATCTCTGTTGGTACAGCAAGGTATTATGGAGCTCTGTTGACTTAACTAATACAAACAAGTTATTTGACACTGAGTCCCTGAGGGCGATTCTTCACTATTCATACTACATATTCAAATGATCCCTGAAAGGAGAGAACATAAGAGCTATTCCTGTATATTTTCTTTTATTTTCAGTTGCTTTGAGGCTTTCATGCTCACACAGAGCACTAAAATTAAACTGCATACTGTCGTTTTACTGCAAGATAGCTTGGGCATTAGTGTCGACTGAACAGACTATATGAAGCAAACACTAACCTTCATATTAATGGCTGTGTCCCCCCTGACAAGAGTCCATTCATACTGGTTGATCCCGTGGTCGTCCACACTGTCCCGTCCATCCAGGACAGCCCAGTCTGTGGGCAGCTGGATCACCACATCCTGTCCAGCGTCACTGCGAGGAGGCTCATCGACCTCTGCAGAGCCAAACAGGAAAACCATGTTAATCTAAAGGATGCGAACTGCACTTTGTTTGATTTGTACTCTTTTATTGTTACGTTGCACATTAACTCTTGTTTTACTCCACAGCTGACACACAGCAAAGAGCTAGAGGTCAGACTCAAACCCCTTGGCCGAAGCAGCAAAGGCGCCACAATATCCACTTTTACAGCTTTGATGGAAATCACTAGTAAATAAATAGAGGAGTTAACTATAAAAACACCTGCTGCTGATCTCAAATTTCAGGTCTAAGCAAATCATTAACCCACCCTGGCTGCTTTATCAAGATAAGAAGCAGTAGCTGGTGGAGATATAAGAGTTTATATACAACTGTCCGTCAGATTTGATGTTGTTTTTCATAAATTAAACTGAAAAATTACCTCACATGGTCAAAAGAATTGATCCTCCATACTCCCTTGGACTATGTGGATTCATGTTTTATGTACCAGGATTATAGCTCACCCTCCTCAGTTCAGTAAGATAGGAGTAAACAGTGCATAAGCCTTTCCAATATGGCCTTTCACAATAAATAAATGTGTCAGGAACTCATCCAAATATACAATATATATATATATATATACACATATATATATATATATATGTACACACCAGTCCTACAAAACAAGGTACCACATTACAGTTAGCCATTGTTCATCTTTGTCCATTTGTTTTATATAACCTGCATGTTAATTAAGTAAAGAAATACAATAATGAAAAATCCATATTATCCTTCCGTAGTTGTGTTTTACTTCAACAACACACTTATGTATTATTTAAGCTGTAATAAATAAACATCTAGCTATAGTAGGAATCAAATGAATTAGTTCACCATAACACACAACTTAATAACGTACCTGGTTATGTAACGCTTTAGCACTAGTTTATTAAACAACACAGCAAATTGTTAATTGTTTCCAAAGGGCCCTGCAGGTTTTTCTAATAACACAAAGATGAGCAGATCTTTAAATCATGATCAATATCTACCAATAATTAAATAAGCCTGTGATTTGTGTCATCTCTCACCTGGTGTATCGTCCTCATCCGGACGTCCTTCCCCGGGCCTCCGGGCCGCCCCGCTGGATGAACCGGGGAGGGGTCCCTGCGTCGTGTTCACAGTCCGGCTGTATGTAGTGAAGCCTTGCTGCGGTGAGAAGGAGCAGACATTTTTATTCCTATAGGTGCAGTTGAATAGGTAGCAGCTGAGGCTCTCCCCGGGCTGCCTCGGGTCCTCCTGCACCACTGCCACGGTGCACTGAGGCTGGGAGCAGCAGGCGTGCAGGCAGTCCTTCCAGGTGTACACCGTGTCCGGGGCCAACAGGAAGGTGGCCCCCTGCTCGATGGAGGCCTTGGCCCGGATGATGCGCTCCCCGACGGCGTTGAAGTCGCCCACACACGGGTCAGTCACCTCGCCTACCTTGTACGCCTGGTCCTGCTGGAGCTGCTTGCGAAATTCCTCCAAGAGCTCCTCCACCCCGTATATTTTGGATTTCAGGTCCGATATTGGTGAGGACCGAGAGTCGGTGGGTCGGACCGCGCTCAGCAGCACAGCGCAGGCGAGCAGCAGCAGTCGGGGATGCTGAGGAAGAGCCATGTTGTTCGCGCAGTGTTAAACGGCGTCTCCCTCTGCCTCTCCGGCTGGTCTACCGACGCATGAGGGTCCACGCAGCAGAGATGGCGCCTTTCCTACATGAAATATATCCCCGTAATGCTGCTCTAAAACACGATATTTTACTAGATTGTTCGTGTAAATAAGAGAAAACGGAGCTAACGGCTGGTCCTCTGACGATGCTAAAAATCAGTCGTTGTCATGGTGAGGGGAGACGGCCGCGAGACCAGAGCTGACGTCACAGTGATGGATAAATATGGAGAGCGGAAAGCTAACGCACCTGTAGCTCTCTCTCTCTCTCTCTGTCT